GGATGGGGGCCCCAGGGGCTGAAGGCAAAGACGGGGGCCGGTGGGAGTTGGGGGGGCAGAGGTGGGGGGGTTGATGGGGGCCCCAGGGGCAGAGATGGGGGCTAGGGGGGCAGGTTTAGGGGGGACAGACGTGGGGGGGTGGATGGGGGCCCGGGGGCAGAGACGGGGGCGGTTTGGGGGGGGCAGAGGCAGGGGGCGGATGGGGGCCCCAGGAGCAGAAACGGGGGGCGGGTTTGGGGGGGCAGAGGCGGGGGGGTGGATGGGGGCCCCGGAGGCGGGCGGCGGGGCCGGGCTCCGTCTCCTCGGGCGGGAAGCAGGCAGCGCGGAGCCCGGCTCGGCTCGGCTCGGCCCCTTCCCCGGGCTGGGCGGCGGGGGGGGCGCGGGGGGGCCGGAGCCGGGGGAGATGGCGGGGGGGCCGAGCCGGGGGGGGGAGGGGCGCGGCCGGCCCGGAGAGGGGGGCGGCCGGCCGGCCGGGCCCCGAGGGGCGGCTCCGCACTAGGCCGCAGATCCCCGGGCTCGCGTAGCGGGCCGGGCCGGGCCGGGCCGGGCGGGGCGGGGCGGGACGAGGCGGCGGCGGCGGCCCCGGTACCTGCTCCGTGATGCTGAGAATCCCCATCTCCGGGCCCGGGCCCCCCGCCTCAGCGCCGAGCTCCCGGCATCAGGCTCCGGCCGCGGCGGCTCCGGCTCCGGCGGCTGCGGGGCGGGGAGGGACTGAGCCCGCCCAGCGCGGGAGGGAGGGAGGGAGGGAGGCCGCCGCCGCAGCGACCCCTGCCGGGGAGCCCCGGCCACGGCCCCAGGCAGCGCCCGGGGCGGGGGGAGCCGGGCCCGAGGGAGTCCCTGAACGGGGGGCCCTCGGATGCCCTCAGGGCCCGGCCCAGGGATCCCTGCGGGGTGGGAGACCGGGGCCCCCTGGAGCTCCCCAGTGGGTCTGGGCCCCACGTTCCCCCCTCACAAGGGGTGGGGAGCTGGGGGCCGGGGCCTCCTGGAGACCCTCCCTGAGACGGGGGTGTGGGGGGGCAGACCCCTGAGGGCCGCCCCCCCGGCCGGCCCAGCGCCGCCGCCCCCCCCCCCGGGCCTGCTCACCCTGGGGTGCGAGCCCTCGCCGTCGCCCTCATCCTCGGGGCAGGGCAGGCGAGAGCCACTTTCCCACCTGGGCCCGGGAGTTTCCCTCCGGCCGATTCCATCCATCGACCCCACCGGCATCGGGTCCGGGCTGAGACGGGTGAGCAAACCGCTAGATCCCGTCGGCGGGGCTCGGTGCCTCGACGTTCTCCAAGGGCCGGCGGAAGAGAATCAGGTGAGGGACTGCGCTGCCCACCCATGATAGCAACCATGTGGCTCTATGATCATTTAGTGATGGCTTCGTGGCCCACGTGGCCACTGTAAATTAAATAATCAGAAGAATGAATAGTTGATCAAGTTATTACATTACTTCTTTGCGCTTCTGAAGCACCCATTAGCCAAGGAGCCACCAACTTGTACTTAGTACTCAGACTAAACAAATCAGTTTGTTGTAAGGATGGTCTCAGATTCTTTTGTTGTTGTGACGTGGAAGCCCCAGCTGAGATCTCATTGTGCTAGTTACTGGACAAACACTGGGTAAGAGACAATCCCTGCTCCAAAGAATTCGAGTCTAGACAAGGCAGATAAAGGATAGAAGGGAAATGGAGAGATGAAACATCTCACACAAGGTCACGCAGGGAGTTAGGATGGCCGGGAACAGAATCCAGGTCTCCCTCGCTAGCCCAGTGTCTGATCTTCTGGACCAAGCTGCCTCTCAGGCCTTGTCTACACTTAAAAGGTTTGCTGATACAGATATACTGGCACCCCCTGGTGGAGACACAGCTGATTCCGGCAGAAGAGTTCTTCCACCCGTCCTCCGAATGGAATATTTTTTGTTGCTGCTATAACTGTGTCTACATTAGAGCTTTTGCCAGCACAGGCATATCGGCTAGCGGTGTGATCTTTTTCATCCTACTAACCAACATAGCTATGCCAGTACTATTTTCTAGTGTAGACCAGGCCTCGGAGAGGAAAGGTTGGTCGTTTCTGGCTAACGCACAAGTCTGGGAATCAGGAGATCTGTGTTCTACATGGACTTGGCTCTCTGCTGAGACAGAGAGAGAGGGTCGCACAGTGAAGTGAATCTCATAGACTTCAGGGCCAGAAGGGACCATTATGATTATGTAGTGTAGAACTCAGATCTCTTCATTCAGGTGCTTCCTAAAATCCCATTGCTTCCATCATGCCCACAATAAATTAACTGTTAAAACTAAAATCCATTCCCTCCTCTGGGCTATGCAGTTAGTGGCTGCTCTCATTTCTGTGCCTGTCTTTTAGGTCCCGATCCTGCAAACACACACTCCCAGGTGTAAATGCTTCCACCTATGCACTCAGTGGGTCTGCTCATGGAAGCAAGCATTGCCCCTGAAGATGTTTTCAGGATTGGGCTGTTATATCGTTGGCTCGTCAGGCTAGGGATTGTTTTGAGACCTGTATTTTATACAGCGCCTAACACATTGTCTTTGCTTAACAAATAATGAATCATAATAACAAAAGGGTGCTGCATGGAACCTCACATAAGCATTTCTGGATGACTCTGATAGCTACCTCATGTGCATCCGAAACCCGCCAGAACCAAGGCCCCCAAAGAGGCTCACAAATCTTTACCACTTGACCTTGGGGACACTACAGGTTCCAGTGGGCCATGTGGCTATGAGGCTTAGCTTGATGTGGAGCATTGCATGTTGGGATCTGTAGTCTCCACCAGCCAGCTAAAGATCAGGATGGATTTAAGAAGCTGCTAGTCTGGCTTTTGTCAGGGCAACTTTTGGGAGCCCCTTGAAGAAAAGGACTTGTTTAAACAAAGAAATGATCGGTGCAACAAGATGAGCTGAATAATTGTTTTCTGCAGTTACGAGGTGTTTATATTTAATTTTCCTGTCTGTCACTGTTTTGGAGGGACAACAGGGCACCGCTTTAAATTGCTACCTCCATGTCTTGAAATAACATCCAGAGACATATTTACCTTGACTGCTATGGAGTGTGGAGGGGACGTAGGCTGGGGACTAATGTGGCATCTTCACTACGGGCTCTACTTTTGATCCCTGGTTGAACTGAGTTCAGAGCAGGAGCCAGGAGACTGTGTTTGTGCTGTTGATAGGGTAGCAGGGCTATTTTTATCATGGCTTTGGACCTGCAGTTAGCCAAGTGTTACCTAACAGTGAAATCAAGGTGAAATCATAGAGCTGAAAAGCCATAAAGAGCAGCTGTTGACATTTTTGCCAGTGAAATATTTACCTGAAGGAGGAAGCAGTGGAACTAGACCTTTCATGGCAGCACAAGATCACTGGACTTCTGTTTTACAGTGTACTACTCACAACCGTTTGCCAGTCGTTTGTACAGTATAGGCTTTGTGGGGTAGCCTCTACTCCTCTCACCTTGTCCGCAAAGGAAGCAAAACTGGGGGGGTTCCTAGCACAATTCTCTGAGAGCTGGGATTTGAGGAGTTTTTTGTAACTGGCTTCCCCAAAAGAAGATGGAATTAGGGAGATGATTCATAGATTTCAAGATCAAAAGGGACCATTGTGATGATGAAAATAGAGGGACAGCTGGAACTGTTTAGACAATAACTGCCAATCAGTCCCATGATATATTGCTTAAGCTTGTGGCTAAGGCATAGATCTAGGAATCAGGACTCCTGGGTTCTGTTCATGGCGGTGACACAGGCTTACTTTGGGCAGGTTGCTTAACTTTTCTGTGCCCCAATTTCCCCATCTATAAAATGGGCATCATAATTTGAACCCTGTCAAGAGGACTCTGAGACTTTGATTTCAGTATTAGTCTGTAAAACACTTTGAGATTCATGGTGCAAAACCAGAGTCCAGCAGTAAGTGTATTTTACTATGATTTTAGTCAAAGAAAGATCCAACATGGATAAGTGGTTTGACAGGGTCACTTTTTTAGGGTGATTTCTAGGATCCTGCAAGAAAGCCCCTGGGTCCAAAACTCACTTTGGGGAAAAGGTCATTATAATATTATGTTGGTTTGAGGTGTGATGATGTTGTGTTGTGATGTCATGACATGGCTTCTTGGTGTGATCAGAGGATGGTATACAATGATGAGCATCCTGAGGTTGATGACGTTGCGTTGAGCCACAGCAATGTCCTGATGTGCCTTAGTCCATGACTGGAGTTCCTACCCATTGTGAAAATACAAATAATAAGTAATCATGATGACATGATGATATTTTGATGAGCTGTGATAAATTTTATGCTCAGTTCCATGTCGTCAGCTTTCATATGACAACATTGGAATGCCCTGTCAAAACGTGTCATTGTGACAGGTGACATTTGAACGCGGTGAGCTTTTCCCCGGGGTGGATTGACACGTTGGGGGAAAGCCAGCAGCGTGGCGACATGCCGCGGGGCAGTGCCACGTTGCGGGACGACCCCCTAGGGCAGTGAGGCGTGATGTCGGGTTGCAGCACGACGATGTCACGGTGTGAGGTCAGGACGACGTATGAGCATGTGCTGCTGTGTCCCAGCAGGGCACGGGGCGGTGACGTGTGGGGGCATGGCGCAGGGGGGCCACGAGGCCCTGTTGCCACGGGATGATGCGGCAGGGTGATGCATCCTGGGGCGATGATGCAAATGTGTCGTGCTATGACGTGATGCATGAGGTCACTTTGCATCCCATCAGCCTATTGGCCACGGGCTGCGGGCTGCCTTGATCACAGGACCCACCCTGCCTGCCAGTTGGCTACAATTCCCATCAGGCACCTGGGCCGTCGCTACAACGCCAATGGCGCCTCAGGGCGGCGGGACTACAATTCCCATGAAGCCCCGGGCGGCAGAGCGCAGGCGCCCAGACCTTAAAAACGCCGGAAACTACAACCCCCATGACGCACCACGGCACCGGTACGCCCCGCCCCCCCGGTTCCCGCCCAGCTCCCTGTGCCGTCTCGCCCCGCCCCCTGGCTGTGACGCGGTCGGCTCTATAGTGACGCGGTGACGTCGTGGGGGAGGGGGGAGTCCAGCGCGGCGGAGCCGGTGTCTGCGGCGGACGGAGCGCGGAGCCCAGACCCCTCCCCCATGGCGGCCAGGCGGCTGCGCGCGCTGCTGCGGCTGGGGGCGCGCCAGGGGCTGCGGCCGGGAGCGCCCCCGCCTGGCAGGTGAGCGGGCCGCCGGGGGGAGGGGCCCAGAGTGGGGGTTCATGGAGGGAGCCTCTGGGGGGAGGGGCTATGGGGGCAGAGGGGGGGCTATGGGGAGGGGCCCAGAGTGGGAGGGGCCATGGGGGCCAGGGCCCTAAGAGGGGTCTCTGGAGGGAGGGGCCATGGGGGTGGAGGGAGGGGCCAGGGCCCTAAGAGGGGGTTTCTGGGGGGAGGGGCCATGGAGGAGGAGAGGGGGGTTTCTGGGGGGAGGAGCCCAGAGTGGGGGTTTCTGGGGGGAGGAGCCATGGGGGCGGAGAGGGGGGTTTCTGGGGGGAGGGACCAGGGCCCTAAGAGGGGGTTTCTGGGGGGAGGGTCCATGGGGGCGGAGAGGGGGGTTTCTGGGGGGAGGAGCCCAGAGTGGGGGTTTCTGGGGGGAGGAGCCCAGAGAGGGGGGTCTATGGGAGGGAGACACTTTTATGCTGCATTGGGTGCGCCGGAAGAGGCAGTGGGGACCCGGCCAGGGCCGCTCACGTCCTGTGGGGGCTTGGGCTGGGTTGGATAGAGAAGCTGGTGTTTTAAGTTCGGGGGACCCGGCCCACACCCCGGGGCACCTGTTGCCAGAGAGATGGTCTTGTGGACTGCTCCCCTCCCAGCGTCTCTACGGCAACTTCAGTGGTTGTCCGTAGGAAGCGGTGACGCGAGGGGAATTCTTCCCGGACACTTCGCTTCTTTTAATGGAATTTAGCATCTGGAACCAAAGAGCCAGATGTGAGCAGCTAGCTGGCTGCAGACCCTTGGCAACACCCCAGTAAATCGCCTTAGCTGGCTGAAGACTAGCTGCAAGGGCTTGATAGGCCACGGGTGATCTATGGACCAGGCACCACGCACAGGCAACCACTGGCTTAGTAAAACTTGCTGGGTCTAAATGGGATCTAGCATCACTAAAGCAAGGATGGGTCTTGCCCTAGCCCCTGGGGTTTGCTGGATGGCACCAGCCCTTTAGGTTTACCCTTCAGGGTAGGGGAGGTTGGTGCTGGTTTTTTTAGCAATGGAAGATGTTATGATAACTTGTAATGAGCCTTCCAGAGAGTGTCCTGCTTTGCAGGAAGAGAAAATAGGATCCAGATTCAGCAGCTGACCTCCTTTGCAAGTTTCTAATCGCATGGCTGCAACCCTGCGATCAGGTGCTAGTTAATGGGCGATTGCCAGAGATGGCAGTTTGTAAAAGTCTCTCTTCAGTCGGAAAACACGATGTTAACTTGACCTGATGGTCTGAATTCAGTGTCGCCTCTTGCCCAGGCTTTGCAAATGAATGTCCTCCCTTTCAAAAGGCCTGGAAGTCTTGAGGGCGTGCACCTCCTCCAGCGATGACCTCTGGTGGGAGGTGCCGTGCCAGGAAGTTGCTACAATGCATTGGTCTGTCAGCAATGCCTGGGGCTGGCAGAGCAGTCCTGCTTCTTGGCAGGTGGGAGCTGGGGTATAAGTGTAGGTGCTTTTCAAGTTCAGATCCCTCCGTTAGCACAGGGGACGCTCCCAGAGCTTGGAGTGGAGAGAGTTTAAGTGGCGTTGTACACAGCTTTGAAACGGGGCCAGGGCGGCTGCTCGTCACTGGCGTGTTGGGTATAAGAGATGCCGTGTTCCTCAGGGCAGCAGTCCTCTCCTATGCATCTGCACAGAATAAATAACAGGAGGTGGCACCTTGCAGGCAATATTTGCGTGTGTTTGCTTTGAGACACAATATGGGAAGGCTGGCAAAGCACAAATAGCTGACGGCTGTGCTCTTTGCTGCATGAATTCTTCTTCTGCTGCACAGCGTCAGGCATAGATATGGCTCTGAGCTTGGAGTCTGTCCCCTGGAGAGTCTGTCCATCCACTCAGGCAGGGCTGAGGGGGCCCAAGCGATCTCTAGGCTCATGTAGATCTCAGATGCGATACCGAATCCAAACCCCCAGCAACGTCCATTGCACTTTCCTCTGCGCTGGAAGGAGAGGGGGCATCGGGCTATCTGAGCCTGGAGTGGCCCCAGAACACTGGAAAAGAAAGACCTTTCCCCTCTGTTCGTGCCTCTGGGGAAGAGGGTGAGTGACCCGTTTTCAGACACATATATTTATAGATCCAAGGGAACAGCCTGAGTGGAAAGTTTCCAGTGACGATGGAATGTGACCTGATTGTGCTGAGTGGAAGCTGCCGGGGTGTTGGAAGGAACTTCCTGAAGGCAGGATTGAATCTCGTTCCTACTGTCTTTATAATGTCCAATTGCCACCCTTCCAGCCGGTTCGGAAGCTTGCTGGGGGGTTGTGAACTTCAGGACTTTTTGTTTGTTGGCACTTAACCAATGGGATAAAACCCGACCAGTCTGAACTGTGGGCTGGGAGTCAGGAACTCCTGGGTTCTATTCCTGGTCGTGGGCGAGTCGCATTGCCGCCCTGTGCCTCAGTCTCCCCAGCTGGGTATAGTCACCTCCTGCACAGAAGGGGCGGTGACGACCAGCGAGTGTTTGTAAAGCACTGAGTGGTCTGTTGCTGGCTCCAGCACCTGTGTCAAGTGGGGAAGAAGGGGGAGTGTTCACAGTCTCACTCTGGATCGTCAAAGCTGACTTGGGGGTTTTGAGAAATCAACTGTCTGTCCAGGCTGTTGTGGGAGGCCAACCACGCCACCAGTGCAGCTCAAAGCAGGACCCTGCTGAGGGTGGGTCTGATCCCCAGCCTGCCAATGAAACGAGCGGAAGCCTGCTCCTGGTGTGCACAAATATTCCAATGGCAAGGGTGCGAGGGCTGTTAACTGCCTCTGGACTGTTTGCGGGAGAGAGGTCACATGTTGCTGGCTTCCCGTCTGTGTTTGTGATTCTCCTCTTGTCTCTGGTTGGCGTGCCAGGCTGTGGGGATCAAGGAACAAAAGCACCAGCTGAAATTTCATCAGGGGGCGAGGTCCAGAGGATAAACTCCGAATGGGATACAAGGGAATTAGAGGCATGACCTGGGTAGTGAGCTATGCCTCTGACAGGCTGCGTGACATTGGCAGATAAGTCCTGTTTTCAGTCAGTACCTTAGTTTCCCCATCTATCAATCGGAGATAACACTGACTCGCCTTGCAAGGGTCATGGAGAAGAACCCAAAGAACCCAGCATAAATAGGTCCTAACCAGCCCACAGTTACTGTCAATGACCCAGTTTTGCCAGAGCGCCTTTCATCCAAAGATACCAGAGCCGCCGAAGACCGTGAAAGGCGGCCATGCTGGGGAAGCAGCAGCCAGGGCTGTGGATCCAAGAGGAAATCTTGGCCAATCGCTGCTCTTTCAGAAAGTGCCAGGCATTGCTAACGTCCAGACAGGGCAGGGCAAACCAAGCCTCTGGGCCTTGTGACATCCTGCCAGGGTTTAGAACGCTGGCTACCGCTCCTCCTCCTGAAATCTCTGCTTGGCAGCATAGCCGACGGGTATGGTTACGCAGCGATGGGTCACTGGTGCCAGCAGGGTGATATTACAGGGCCTGCGGGAGAGCGGAGGAAACCTGCCAGGGTGGCACGTTGCTTCCCCTGCCACCCTCCTTCTCAAGAAATCCAGATACCCTCTGCCCCCACATCGGTTCCAGTGTTCACAGCACCGGTGCTCCATATTGACGCGGAGGAGGGCAGAGCTCAGCAGGGTGCCCTGTGTTTCACCAGCCACCCTGACTAAGGAGATGGGCAAGCGTGGTCCCTGTGCCTCATAGCGGGCCCTTCCCAGTGGCACCCGCCCCTCATGTCCCATCTGGTTCCAGGCTCCAAGGGCTTGCCACTCCTTACTGGCTTTCAGCCAGCTCAGCTGAGTACTGTTCCTGTGAATGAATCTCTCCTCCTCCTCCTGCTCTGAGCTGCCCTCCTGATGGGCAGGTTAATGGCAGCTGTTGCATAAGGCCGGCTGGGCACAGGGGAGGGGCCGCCTGCCTCTTGACTCAGCAGCAGGTGATCTGCAGCAGGGAGAAGAAGGTCAGGGTCTCTCTCGGTGGGAGCCCTTGGAGCCTTCCCCAGCTGCCTCCACAAAGATCTGAGTGAGCACAAGCAGGAGGTGAAGTAAATTGCCACTGTGTCTGAGCGTAGAGGCCTGCAGGAGAGCCAGGCCTCCCCGCCAGCCACTAGGCCTCCCCGCCAGCCGCTCGCCCTGCCCTACCATGGGGGGCTTGTTTGAGGCCATGAACTGCTGGCTGGGAGCAGGGCAAGTGAGCTAGTGGGAGCAAGCTCTCGTCTGAGCCAGGGCTGACCCCGCTCCGGCGCTGTGCTGCAGGGAGCTGGGTGAGTGATGGAGCAGGGGACGCTCTCCCCTCGGGGACAATGCTGATCCCAGAGCTCCCGCCCAGTGCTGTCTGTCAGATGATCAGACTTCAAAGCTCAGGTCTGGGTCACTTGTGCTCATTACTCCTGAGGGCATTCTGCGCCAAAAAATTAAAAATTATGCGCCAAAAAAATAACAATGCTGCCCACAATATTTTAAAATTCTGCAAATTTTATTTGTCAAATAAATGTGGAGGCTCATTTGTGGAGGCTCAACCCATTGGCATTGGGGAGCACAGGCCACTAGCTGCACAGAGGTGGGAGATCACTCTGCAGCTCTCCCGAGACACAGACTCAGCGGTGAGGCTGCACTCGACCCTGACACAGCGCAAGGACTGGGCCTGCCCCAGAAACATCCAGGGCCCTGCCCCTCCATGCCAAGTGCACCAGGTGTGCGCAGGCAGGCTCAGCAAGGCAGGATCCAAGTGTGGAGGGGCTTAGTGTGGGGGGGATCCAGGTGTGGATTGAGAAGGTTCTGTGTGGGGCAATCTGGGTGCATGTGGCTCATTGGGGGATCCAGGTGTGGGAGGATCTGGATGCACAGGGGCTTGCTGGGGGACTCTGGGTGCAACGGTAATGGAACTCTGCCGGGAGGGTCCAGGTGAAGGTGGTTGGGGCTCGGGGCGGGGGGGGGTCTGGCTGTGGGGGGATAGAGCTTGGCAGGGGGGTCTGGGTGTGGGGGGCTCAGTGGTGGGGTCCAGATGCTGAGGGAGTGGGGTTGGTACAGTGGGGATCCAGGTGTGAGTGGCTTGTCGGGGTGGTCCAGGTGCAGGGGGAGTGGGGCTTGTTGTCGGGGGGGGTTCTGGGTGTGAGGGGGGTGAGGCTCGGCAGGAGGGTCTGGGTATGAGGGGGTCTGGATACACAGGAGTTGGACAGATGCGGGAGCAGTTCCCTGTACAGAGATCCCTCCCCCTGCAGCTCAGGAGTGATGGGTGCAGGAAGTGTGGTGGGGGAGGGGGGAGTTTGCAGCGTTTCCTATAGCTGGGGGAGAAATCTGGGGGTGGGTCTGACATGGCCCTGGATGGTGGGCAGAGGAAGTTCCATCCTCCCCAGCCCAGCTGGGATTAGCAGCTGAGCCCGGTGCAGGGTAGGAGCCACACAGCTGGGTCTTCCCCAGCGCCCCCCCCCCCGCCGCCCCCACACAGTGATTTACCTCTCTGCCGGCTGCCCTGGGCACCTGAAACATACTGATGAGGCAGGTCGCATGACTGCTTTTGTGGCTTCCCTTTGCTTCCCCATCAGAAAGTCATTTTTCTGCAGGGAAGCAAAGAAATCTGCGGGGGACATAAATTCTGCGCATGTGATGTGGCGCATAATTCCCCCAGGAGTAGCTCATTAAACAGCCCCTTGGTGGGAGCAGGCGGAATCTTCACTGTGATATGGGAGTCGGCGTCGCTCCTTGCCACAAACTAGTTGGTAGAGTTGCTGTGTCACTAAACTGCTGCCAGGTGCCAACCCAGCGGTGGCTGCATGGGAGCGGTGAAAAGATCGCAGCATGCAGCTTGGCCGTGCAGCACTTAGGGGCCGATAGATCCTCAGGGGAATGGGATTGGCATGCGAGAGGGAATTCCCTTGTCCCTGGCTGGGGAGGGTCTTTCGTCCGCTTCATCTCCCTCAGCCCCACTCTGCGTTTAGTGGCTTTGAGCTTAGCTAGTCTCAGCATCAGGTGACCTCTCCAAAGGGAGTAGCCCTCACTCCTTTCCTCTGCCTGGCCAAGCCAGCTCCGGTCGGTCTCTGCTAATCCCGACCCGTTTCCAGTTGCAGGGCCGTGTCTCTCTGTGGGATTCTGCTGAGCCGGGTGCCTTGGGCACTAAACAGCCTGGACTGGACCCAGCACAGCCGGACATTCATCAATCTCACGGGGCCTTTCACCAACAAAAGGAAGGAGTATTCGGAGCGGAGGATTATAGGGTAAGTGGCATTGGCTGTGTTCCCCCAGAGGGGGATGGGGTGGAGGCGGGGTTGGAATGAGTGCGCTAGGGGCTTGCCCTGCATGCTCCAGCATGCTGTGTCCTTCACCTGCTTGCCCCAGCGCTGGTGGCAAAAGGGGAGTTTGGTCTCCAGGCCTCAGTCAACCCTTGACCTGTCTGTGACGTGATGCGTGCACCCCGAACCGGATTGAGACCCATGAAACTCATTTCACATTGTGGGGGGGGCCATGGATGGCACCAGCTGTTGGGGGCAGTGGAGTTGAGCCGGCTTTGAACCGGCGCCGCAGAGGCAAATGGTTCCCTAGCCCGTCCCCGAGCCCCCGCGCTGCCCTGTGCCTGCAGGACGGCAGCTCTGAGTCAGCCCAGATGTCTCCCCCCGGCAGGTACTCCATGCAGGAAATGTACGAGGTGGTGTCCAACGTGGATGACTACAAGCACTTTGTCCCCTGGTGCAAGAAGTCGGTGGTGGTCTCCAAGCGCACGGGCCACGTGAAGGCTCAGCTGGAAGTGGGCTTCCCGCCCGTCCTGGAGCGATACACGTCCATTGTCACCCTGGTGCGCCCACACCTTGTCAAGGTGAGGCTGCCGGGGAGCGCCCAGGGATTCTCAGCATGAGGGATGTGCGGGGTTGGGGGCACTCAGCCGCCCAGGGAGCCTGGCTTCCCAGTGCTCTGGTAGCAAAGCCCCTCGACTGACGCTCCTGCTGTCCCTTCTCAGGCCATCTGTACTGACGGGAGGCTCTTCAACCATCTGGAGACCAGCTGGCGCTTCAGCCCTGGCATCCCAGGCTACCCCCGCACCTGCACAGTGGATTTCTCGGTAAGCCCCACCCCTGGCCTGCCCCGTCCAAGGGGTCCTCCCACAACCTTCGCCCTGTCGCCATGCGGGGCCATCTCTACAGTGAATCCACTGGGGATGGACCAGAGAGGTGGCTGCCAGCCCGCCCATGCTGTGTAATGGACGGGTTAGAAGCACCTGTCCCCAGGTCATTAGCCTCCAGGAGGAGACTGAGCCGGGAGGTAAGCAGGGTGCGAAATGCTGCTGTCAGCCACCGAGCGAGCGATTGCTCTTCGTGTCTTGAGGGAGAGAGAAGCAAGAGCAAATGTTCCACTTGGGCGCATTTGTCTGAGAGGCAGGGCCTGGTGGAGCGGGGAGTCAGGACCCCTGGGTTCTCCTCCTGGCTCTGTCAGTGACTTGCTGCGTGAGCCTCTCGGCCTCAGTTTCCCCACCTGGGCCGTGGGCTTTGTGTGGAGGTGACTATTCGCTGCGTGCTGCCGATGATGGCAGGTTCCCCGCTGGGTGTTGCAGAACATGGGCAGCCCGGCAGCCCCTGTCCCCCAGCCCTTTGTTTCAGGGGAGGGCTCTGTCCTGGCCTGACCTGCTCTGCCAGCCCCTCGTCTCTCTCTCCTCCCCAGATCTCCTTCGAGTTCCGCTCCCTGCTGCACTCGCAGCTCGCCACGGTCTTCTTCGACGAGGTGGTCAAGCAGATGGTGGCCGCTTTCGAGCGGCGGGCGGCTAAGAACTTCGGGCCGGAGACGCGCATCCCCCGGGAGCTCATGTTTCACGAAGTTCACCAAACGTGAGGGGGTCGGGGCCGCATGTGCAGACTCTCTCGGGGCGGCGGGCAGGGCGTCCAAGTGCCTCCCGCCGCCTTTTTAACTATTTATTTGATTTCACCTCTCCTGACGGTCTCTCTAATTTATCTGCTGTGCCGAGAATGGGGACGTACCCGGAGTGGCTGGGTCTGGCTGCCCCGGAGCGTCCCCCAGGCCTGCCATCTTGCACAGAAGAACCACACCTGCCCGCCGGGCTCCATATTTTTGTAGCTAACTTTATTTTAAATGTATTTTATTTTGGGGGTGGGGGTCTTGTTTAAAATCCCTCCGAGCAGGGAAGAGCAATCCCTGCCCCTTGCTGATCTGCAGGAATCCTCGTCCTTCCCTCTGCGCAGCCCTCGCAGCACAAACCAGCAGGCCTGCGTGTGCCAGCCCCCCCTTGGTCGGACTGCCTTTCCCCCAGGCCTTGGGGAGAGGGGCGGGGCCCTGGCGATGCGCACGTGGACTGGACGATCAGGGTCTCGGCTCGCCTGCCTGTGGTCCTTTGCGGGGTGGGGTGTGTGGAACGGATCAGAAACTTCTCCCCATCCCAGGGGGTGCTGAGCACAGACAAAGGGCCGAGCAAACTTTACAGTAGCTGCCTGCCAACTCTTAGGAAGGTGGGAGCAAGAGGGGAGTTACATTTGGTCTGGAAGCGAGTGCTGAGAGCAAGTGTTGCATTATCCGGGGCCTGCGGAAGGGGGCGGGGGCGTGGACGCAGCCTGGTTGGCGCCCCGGCAGAGAGCGGGAATGGGCAATCCAGCCAGGGCAGGGCGAGGGGCAAGTGCCAGGAGGGCAGCGTGGGACTCAGCTGGCAGCTGCTCCACAAGCCTGGCAGGTGGGATCCCGCTGAGCTCGCCCTATATGGCGGGAGCACTCCCTGGGTAGGGAGATGGCATGGCTACACCTGGCCCCCATAGCGCTGCCCCGGCTCTCGCCCAAGAAGGAGGCCCCGGTGGCTGCTCGGGCTCCTGGCCCCCGTCTCCCTTGGGAGAGCCGCGCGGGCGGGAAATAAGGACTGAGGGACCCAGGATGGAGCAAGCTTGGAGGCTTCGTGGGGCATCATCAGGAGCTGGAGACGTGTGCCGGGGGGCTTCCCCTCTGGCTGGCAGTGGAAGGCTTTAGGCAGGGGGAGCAGGGCCCCAGTTCCCAGGGGCTGCGGCCCCACAGCGGAGCCGTCCTTGGCCAGCACTGCTCCTCTGGCTGTGCCCCAGCCATGTGGTGAACAGGGCAGGGAGGGGGTGAGAACACCGCTGTTCACCCCCCCCCCCCCAGCCCAGGCACACAGCAGCTCTGTCTGGGGAGCGTGCCCCGTGGCTGGTGCGGGAGATAAGTGAACAGAGCCCCATTGTCCTCCGCCAGGGGAGGAAGGTCATGGAGCGTGCAGAGTGCTGGGGCGGGGAGAGGATCCTGCCTAGAAAGGGCCCTGTCACCTTGAAAAGCAGCTGCAGCTTAGCTCAAAGTGTGGCCCACGCCACAGCCAGCCCGTGCGGCCACCTCTGTCCCCATGGGAGCTGCCGGCTAGTGGGGAGCAGAGCCTGGCTCCCTCCCCAGGCCCAGCGCCGCGAGGCCTGCCAGACTCTGTGCCCCGGCCCCCCTGCTGTGCAAAGGAGCCGGCGTTACATACAAGACACGCTTTGCACATGCGGGCGGGGGAGGAGGGCAGAATCACTGGCCCCAGGGCCCGGCGTGGGTCCTGCTGCATTGGGCTGGCACAGCAGTAACTGTGCACAGAGTGGGGGAAGGATCCCGGCTGCTGCACGTTGGCCTCGCACGAGAGGCCAGGCACAGAGTGCTTTCAGAGCTTCCCCCTCGGGTTCTGGGGGGAGCTGGCACCGGGGCCCATACCCTGAGCATGGCAGCGGATGGGTCACGGCAGTGATGGAAGGGGGAGGAGCCCAGGGGGCGGTTGGGACCCGCTTCTTGTTCAGCCCGAATGCCCCCGGCACAGGATTCATTACCACAGTGAGGGCTTGAATGGCCTCTGAGGGGACCTGCCTGTCTCCAGAACTGGGGGGTAGCCAGCCCCTCGCTCTCTGAGCCAGGAACCTCCTCCTCTGCCCCCCGAGACCCTGCACCCATTGCAGCAGAATCACCTCCTCCCCTCCAGGTGCCAACCTGCCCTGGGGTGTGTGCTGCCCCATGAGGAGCCCTGGCCCCCCGAGGGGCTGACTGCATGGGCGGAGGGGGCCAGCAGCAGCCCTGGGGCCTGCCCACAGGCGAATGTCTCATCTGCTCCAGGCCTCTTGCCTGAATCCCTGCCCCACCCTTAATCCTTTGCTTCCAGCCGGGCTCCCCCACCCGCTTCCCCCCGTCTCCAAATCGCTCCCTGGGGCCAGGAGATGTTGATCAAGGGCTGCAGCTGGGCCCTGCCCTGAGCCGTGCCTTCTGCCCTGCTACCGTATCAGCCTGACCCCCAGGCTGCCCTCTGCCCCTCATGGCCTCAGCTGGCTCACGAGAGAAATGCACATGGGGGGGTGTATCAATCTGATGCAGGGGTGAGGGGGAAACCCCCCCGCCTCCATTTGGGGCTGGGCCGCAGCCGCCCCCTCTGTGCTCTGCGTGTGGGACTTTGGTCTCCATCCAAGAGACTGTAGAAATGTTCTGCCCAGAGAAGTGGGTTTTTTAGGCCAATAAAAAGCATTTGGCAAGTGGGATCGGCGCCTCCTTTGGGGTGTCTGCGGTGGCTCCGGGGCTGGGTTCTGCAGGTCAGTATCACCCGAGAGGTTGTCTCCTGCGGGCCACCCGGGCTGGACTCGGGGCAGAGGGTAAGTGGAGCCCGCCCTGTGGGCCCGCTGCTGGCCAGGCCCTTTCCGCTCAGCATGGCTGCACCTGGCTTTGCCCCTCATCTGCCCTTGTGCCCAGCACTCCCTGGCCCCGGGCACCCACTGCACAGTGGGGCACAGCGGGCCATGTCCCAGACTCCCCAGCAGCTGCCCAGGCCCTCACCAGCTGGAGGTGCTCCCTAAGGGCTGCCTGCAGCAAAGCAGGCTGGGGGACGGAGCGTGCCTGGCAGGGCAGCCCCACAGCAGGGAGTGAGGAGGGGGCTGGATTGCATCGCTCGGCACCTACCAGCAGGGCTCAGCCCTGGGTGCAAATCCAACTCTTGGGGTGGTGCCTTCTGTGGTGTGGGTCTCCCCAGCCCCCATCTCTAGGCAGGACTCCTCCCCTCGCCCCTCAGCGCAGGGGGTCTCGACCTCGCCCAGGCTCATTCTGTGTTGGCGCCAGCAGGCTACTCCCCAGCCCCACTGGGGTCCAAGCGCGATGGGGGCAGCACCAACATGAGCAATGGATCCGCTGCTGTCGCATCCTGGCCGTCTGCCACGAGACGGAGCCATGGCACGGGGAAAGCTGAGCCCATGTGCGGGGCCTGCCGCAGCTGGAGGGTCCTTGGCCCACCTTAGCCATGAGGGGAGACAGAGACAAGCCGGCAGACAGGAAACATTTTGGGCCGGGACAAATGCAAGAGCCCTGCTGTGTGCAATTCCCCCAGCTCAGCCCCCGCCTGATGCACACGCCCCCAGCCCTTATGCCGCAACTCAGGCTGCATTAAATCCCAGCCAAAGGCCGGCTGCTGAGCTGGGTTTGGGTGAAGGGCATGGTGCCTCCCTCCAAGCTGGGATGGTGGGGGCTGCTCCTGGGCCCTTCCTGCCCCAGCACTCAGGCTCTGCCCTCTGAAATGCCGGACATGGCAGCAGCTGCAGGGCTGACACCTTGCCCTGGCACTGGGGTTGGCTCTTCTGGCATCACCTGGCCCCAGCTCGCCCCTGCCCCCATAGGCACCTTCTGGGAGCATCGTTCCCCCAGTGCCCATCAGGGGCATGGAGCGGGGACTGGGGAAAGCACCGGCCCCTGGCAGCGCGGCAGGCCCAGGCCTGGCTGCAGGGCAGGCCCGTGGCTTTCCAGGCCCAGCCTAACGAGAGCTGGGACCGGCTGCTCGTGTTCCGCCCCATGCGAGACGCGCCTGTTTCACGTGGGGAGCCCCGTTCAGCCTCCACAGCTGCCCTTGGCCCAGCTTCACGGGGGTTGGGGGTGTGTGTGTGTGCGCGTGTGGAAAAGGCAGCTTTGCTTGGACCCTGGGATGAGTCACGACCCCTGGAAGCAGGGAACGGGGGAGTTGTGGGGACCCCCTTAGGGGCTTAGCAGCTGTGGAAAGATGGCTGGGGGCTCCTGGGCAACAGAAGCCCCCCCCTTCCTGCAGGATTGGGGGGGTGGCACCAGCTTCCCCCCCCCCCGGCACACAACTGGCTGTTGGAACTGGCCCCAAGCTGCCCTGTGGGGCGGGCCAGGAAAGGCTGGGGGTGGAGCAAGGACCTCTGCTCAGGCAGGGGGCAGCTCTGCTAACCCTAGGCTGGACTGGTGGACAGTCGGTTACATCCTGCCCCCCCCCCCCAGGTTAGCAACCGGCCCTGGCTGCTGGGGGCAGTATTTGAGCTCCTAACTTCCAGGCCCTAATGCCAGGCCCACGCTGTTCTCGGCCAGGGCCAGCTGCCAGGCAAGGCGGCCCACCCAGGCCCAGGGCTGCCAGGGGAAGGAGGCTCCTTCCCCGCAGCCTTGGGAAGGATAATGGCGCCCTCGTGTGGACATGAGGGACATGGCCCCTGGACTCAGCCCAGCTCTGCTCATTTCCAGAGGCTGCCCCGGCCCCCCCTTTCCCTGGGGCTGCAGGTGCGAGGGGGGGCGCGCTGCGCTGCTCAGGGCCTGGCTGGTGGCATAAGGCACAGAACCACTCGGGGAAATCACACCTAAGCTGAGGGTCCTAACCCCAGGGCCCCTCCGCAGCAGTGGGGCAGCCCCCCGCCCCGTGGGCAGGCCCAGGCTGCATCCCACCCGCTGGCGCCTATGACACACCGGGGAAGCAGTTTTGTTAATAAAAACATTTATTTTGCAGTTTGTACAGAGCCACCCGCAGGCCGCGCCAGGCCACGGCCGGAGCCCACCCAGCGCCCTGGGGGCGGTTAGGGGACACGAGAATTCACACAAAACACACAGAGAACTGGGGCAGGGGAGGAGTGTATCGCGTCCTTCCTCCGGAGAAAGGACAGGAGCCAGGTTCACTTTTGCACTGCAACTGCTCAAAAGAAGGTGGCTAGCAACACTGCCCCACGGCTACTGATGGCTGCTCAGAAAATCACGTCCTCGCTTGGCCAGGCTAAGCCCCACGGCTCTGGCATGGACGCCACGCAGAGGGAAACCCACTCGCAGACTTTCCCAGGGAAGCCTTTCCCCTGCCCCACTCTCCCCCTCGGCAGCTGTGGGGCTCACAGGAAGACCTGCCCCCTGCTAGGAGCAAGGAGACAGTCTCAGCCAGCAATGCCAGTGTGGCAGGATCCAACCCCCAGTGTACATCGAGGATGCCCCTGCCCCCGCCCCTTGGAGGGGGAAAAGTCCAGAGATGCCCCAGATGGAGCCTGCAGATTGGGGCCCAAGACTCAAGGTGGTAGGAGGAGGAGGACCAAAGGTAAAGGAAGTGATTCAAGCATTCACATGCCAACTCCACACCCCACAGCTGGCCCTGGGTCAGGGACTAAGCAAGCAGAAGGAAGCTGGTTTGATCTGGGCCTAGGAGCTTGTCTGCGCCATGGACAAGGCAGCGCTCAGTACGGTACAACATGATTGGGAAAGGACCCTCCTCTCCTGGCCGGGGAATAGCGCGGGCTGGCCTAGAAAGCCATGCGGGTTTCCAACCCGTGCCGGGGGTTCCCAGGGGAGCTGCTGGGCTCTGGTTGGATCAGGAGTTTAACAGAGGTGCCGCTAATGGCGGTGGGGGGAGAGGGGAGGGGCAGGGGGCTGATTGTTTTAATCTTAAATTTACACCATAAATAACCTGAAACTTACGGTCAGTGCCTCAGAGAAAGGTTTAATTCTAGTGTCTGGCCGAGGCCCTTGGAAGGGAAAAGGTGTACTGTCTCTTTAAACGTCCCCTGGACAACTGGCAAGCGCGGGCTCCCCCTCCCCCCATCCCTTTCTTTAACCCGATTTGACGCCCACGAGCTGCATGACGCCGTCCGTGCTCATGGACTTGGGTCTCTCCAGCGGGAAGCCGAGCGCCCGGCTCCAGATGAGCTGGGCCAGGACGCCCAGGGCCCGCGAGATGCCGAACAGCACAGTGTAGTACTTCATCTCCTTCATGCCGTAATACTGCAGAGGGGAGAGGAGTGGAGCAGGGTGTTCAGGCCAGTGCCGAGCAGTCCGGCCTCTGCCCGCGGGGGCAGCCCCAGGGTCTGGGCCTGGGCGATGCTCAGGGGATGTGGTCACTGGGGAGTGATGGCCGGGGGGCAGGGCTGCCCTCTGAGTGGCTGAGCCCGGCAGGAGCAGAGCTGGTGGCTGGGCTGTCCTGGCTCCCGGGCGGTCAGAGCCCGGCTGGGTCTGGGGAGGAGCAGGAAGTTCAGCCCGGACACCACGCCACAGGGGGCTCAGAGTCTCGACTGCTGAGCCCAGGCAGGGCGTGCTGGAGGGGCCAGGTCAGAGCAGGGCTCTGGGCGGGGTGCCTAGCCAGACCCGGCTTGGTGGGGAGTCCCGTCCCCCCACTAGCAGCCCCCAGGCCAGCGCCTTACCTGGAGCAGCACCCCGCTGTGCGCGTCCACATTGGGCCAGGGGTTCTTGGCCTTGCCCTGCTCCAGGAGCACGTTGGGGACAATCTTGTACAGCTGTGCCACTAGTTTGAACATGGGGTCCTTGGGGAGGTGCTTGAGGGCGAACTCCCTCTGGCAGGTGTAGCGGGGGTCCGTCTTCCGCAGCACGGCGTGGCCATAGCCAGGGACCACCTGCAGCGACAGGAGGGCCGAAGGCTAGCACTGACTGGGGGGGTCATGACCCACATTCCCAGTGGGGGCAGCCGCCCAGACTCAGCACTGCTCCCGCAGCCCAGGGGGACTCACCCGGCCGGAGTTCAGCGTGTTCCAGATGAAATCTCGCAGCTTCTCGTCAGACACGTCCGGGCCCAGTTCCTTCTGCAGGTTCGTCAGCCACCCCAGGACCTCCTGCAAGACGCGCCGAGAGAGAGGGCACGGGGGTAAGGCCGGGACCGTGTCCCCCTCTCCCTTTCCCCGCCCCCAGCCGATGCGACCCCTACCTGATTGGCGAGGCCGTGCAGCGGCCCAGCCAGGCCGTTCATGGCTGCGGCAAAAGCGAGGTATGGGTCAGAGAGGGCGCTGCCCACGAGGTGGCTGGTGTGGGCGCTGACGTTCCCGCCCTCGTGATCGCTGCAGAGAGGAGACCGTTAGCAGAGGGCAGCAGCCGACCTACTGCCTGACCCGGGGGACTGCCAGCCCACCCGGCCCACTGAACAGCTCCAACTTCCCAACCAGCAGGGGGCAGCAGCGGCCCTAGGACAGTGCAGGTGGCTCCGAGCCATGGTCAGTAGGGACGGCTGCTTCCCTGACCTGGCCCCTTCTGCTCTAAGGGACACCCGTCTCCAGCCCCTGCCTCTCTGGGCCAAGCTGGGCAGGGCCGCTGGCAGGGATGGTGGCTCAGAGGGGCCCAAACTGCCTGGCACAGCCCCTGCATGCCCAGCGCACTGACACCCTGCCCCCTCTGTGGGGGAGGGATCCCTTGGCCAGAGCTCCGGCCCGGTAGCGGCTGTTCTCGGGGGTGGGGGGTGGGATGGAGAGGCTGGATCCAGCCCCCCTGGAAAGCAGTTGCAGCCTTCAGAGCCCCGCCCCAGTTCCACCCCTGCCTGCTTGGAGCCTGGCCCGTCCGAGCTCTGCCGAGCGGGTCAGGGGCTCCCCGCTGCGTTGTTTGCAGGGCTCTGGAGTTCGGCCTCCTCCTCCCACGCGGGGACGCCCCTGCCTCTCTCTAGGGCGTCCCCACGTAGCGTCCGCCACGCCAGCCTCGCTCCCAGCCGCAGCCCCCCAGACGGGTCTCACCTGTGGATGGTGAGGTAGAGCCGCATGAGCTCGATGAACTGGGGGTCGGTGTAGCCCAGCATGTTGGTGAAGTTATGGGACCAGTCCAGGCTGGGGTCGATGGCCCCGATGCTGCTGCCCTCGCGGTACAGGTTGCGGTAGATCTTGGCGGCGATGCAAGGCAGCTTGGCGATCAGGTCCATGGCGTCCTCGTAGATGAACTGCAGGGACGGGAGAAGGCGGGCTGCTCACTGAGCCCAGTGGCGCAGCGTCCTTGGGCCGTTCACAGCCACGCGCGCTGTCCCGGCTCAGCACAGGGTTTGCTGTTCGAAGGCTGCCTTGTCCCACCCCAGAGGTGGCTGCGTTTCAGTGACGTGGCAGCCCGTGTCTATAGCTGGGGGTTTAAAATCACACCTTTGTAAATCCCGACACGTCCCAGTGCTCTGAGCAGGAAATGGAGAGCCAGGCCCCTGACCGCGCCACCCTGGGCGAGCAGATCGCTTTACCCAGCCGTAGGCGGGGGAGGGGAGGTGCCAACCGTGCCAGGTGCAGGGGAAATTGGGTAGTTCAGACGGATGGTAAAGGGCAGGGACAGCTGCTGGAGGGCAGTGAGAAGGAGCAGCCATGGGAATTACAGGGAGTAGCAGACTCACCCACCCAGACAGGCCAGCCAGTACACCGGTACACGGCCAGAGACTCTCGGCTCGGATGCCATGGGGTGGGGGTTGGGCCGAGAGGAAACCAGCTCGCCTGCCTTACAGGGACAAGTGCAGCCGGCCCTGAGCAAACGTCGCTCCATCCTCCAGCCCAGCACTAGCCCCATTGTACAGGTGGGCAAACTGAGGCAGAGGGGAAACTAACTCGGGCAAGGCCCCAGAGGGAGTCAGCGGCACAGCCCGCTGTGCCCTGGCCCCAGATCCACCCACGCCGCCCCTCGAGCTTCCAGCCACTGGTGTCGGGAGGTTGGCTCTCGCCGGCTGCAGGCCAGACGCCACTCTGGGAGCCGCAGCCTGGACGCTCTCTGTGGCCCAAACATGGGCAGCAGGGAGGGCCAGCTGGGCCTGGCCTAGCCCCCTACCTCCCAGTACTTGGCCCGGCTGATGCCCTCGGAGTAGGCCCGGGCGAAGTTGCTCTCGCTGTTGAGGGCCGTGATGGCGGCGCTGAGCTGGGACATGGGGTGCAGGTTGGTCGGGAAGTTGTCCAGCATGGTCACCACGTGGGAGGGCAGAGCCGCCCGCTTGGCCCACTCTTGGGAGACCCAGCTCACCTGCGGGAGGAAACGCGCCACGGGGTTAGCCGGGGATCCGCCGCCTGACGCAGCACAGAGGGGTTGCCGGGCCAGGCCAGGCGTGGCGCAGAGAACAGGCTGCAGCAGCACTGGCGAGGCCATGAGAGTTTGGGGCTTAAGTCACGGACCCCAAAGCCACGGCCAGAGCCCCCCACCTCACCTGTTCCGCAGTGGGGATGTCTCCGGTAAGCAGCAGCCAGAAGAGGCCCTCAGGCAGGGGCTCCTCCCCTCCCGGGGCTTTGGGCAGCAGCTTCTGGCACTCGGGGATGCTGTACCCGCGGAAGCGGATGCCCTGGAGAGAAGGGTGGAGAAGGGAATCAGTCTCTGAGGGCAGGGGGCGGCCTGGGAGGGTGGCGGGGGGGGGCGGCGAAGGCCTTACCTCATCGGGGTCCAGGACAGAGGTTTCGTATATTAGCCCCTTCATGCCTCTCATCCCGCCGTAGATCTGGAAGGGACAGAGCCAGGAGGCAGTTAGCGGGGTTCAGCGGAGCAACGCTCCCTCTCCCGCAGCCAGGCCACCTTTAACCTGGCAGGGCTGGCGCTAATGGCCGGAGTTTGCTCCCCGCTGCCGGGGAGCAGAGCAGCCCCTCTCGGCACCAGCGCTGATTTCACCCAGTCGGCTGCCTGAAGCCAGGGCTCCGTTCTCCCCTCAGCCCCGCTCCTCTGCTGGCCTGGGCTCGGGCCCGGCGGGAGGCTGCTGGCAGAGACGCTGCTGGACAGCTCCCTCTGCTTCACGCGGACCCCAGGGCTGCTCTGAACAGCCTGGCTGGGTCTCCTGCAGCCCTGATGGTTGGAGCTAAACGCCACAAGCGTCTCCTGCCCGAGCTAAAGGCCCAGCTGTGTTAGTGCAACAGCCCCAGCCACCTCTGCGGGGCCGCCAGCCTGCGCCCTATGAACCAGGGGAGGCCTCTGGGCAGCCACGGTCCCCACGTCCACACCGGGCCTGGGTAGCTCCCATCTCACACTGGGCTTGCCAAGGGCAGGGCAATGGCACCTCGATTTCCAGGCACCAAGCGATGGGCAGGAGAGAGTGCCCAGCCCAGAGCAGTGTTTCTGGGCCACTGTGAACCAAGGGGTCTTCCACACTGCTTCGACGCAGCAGCGACTGGCCGCCGCCAGGGCGGGACACCAGATCACACCCCCCAGGGGGCCCATCCAGGAAGAAAGGGAGCCCGCGGAACTGACCCAGCGAGGTAGGGAGGGGGCGACACTGGGCGAGGCCGGCGGCCTGACGCAGGGGTTCGTGGGGATAGGTCACTCCCTTGACGGTGAGCGAGATCAAGGAGGTGCCCACGCCGCCCAGCGCCAGCCCCAACTGAGCTGGCTCTCCATGAGCCATCCCTCCAGCGCCGGCCCGTGCCGGCCACACTCACCATCTCCACAGTGACTTGCCCGATGACCGTGTTGCCGTATTGTTGCCTGAAGCTCTTGATTCTTGACTGCTCCTTGGGAACCAAGTTGGAAAGGACGTCCTTCAGGTTCTGGCGGTTGGGGGGAGAAGCAAACAAGCTGGTGAGGGCAGCACTAATGCCATGGCGGAGCTGAGCATCGCTAACCATTGCGCCTCGGAGCCAGTCAGGATCTCTGGTTTGTGTTGCACAGAAATCCCTCCAAAGGAGGCCAGACAGCGACCTACAAGCGACGGGATTAGAACTGCGGCTCTGGGACGGTTTCCCTCTGGGGCGAGGACGTGAGCGGTGCTGGAGCCGCTGAACCGGAGAAGCCAAGGACAGTTCTCCCCAGACGTGCACCCCCCGAGGCGAGAGGCAGAGGTCTCTACTTACCGTGGAAGAAGAGCTGGCATGTCGGGCAGCGAAGAATATACATGGTGCATTCTGCAGAGAGAGAGAGAGAGAGAGGCCTCTTATGCATTAGCCTGGCAGCGACATGGAGCGTAAGACCCACAGCCTACGGCAGCGTTGGGCTAGGCAGGTCAGTATCACCTGGCTGACACCACCAGGGAAACAATCATACCAGCGTGTCCTCATGGCTCCACCCCCGCCACGCCCCCCCATCCCAATCTTTCCCTCTGCACTCTCTGCTGCAAGCAGGAGAATCAGACAGCTCAGCTCTGAGCAGGTCACTGATTGGGAGCCAAGTAAGAGCCGGAGTCAGAGTGGGAATGCGGAAGCAGAGCTCCAGGGAGTTATTGGAGCCAGAGCAGTTTGTCCAGGAGGTGGGTGCACCGGACAAAGACAACACATTTAAATTCCACCGCCTCCTCTCTGGATCAGCGACGCCAGGCCAGGAGGAAACGGGGCATTTTGTTTTGCTTTGCACGGATCACACACCAGGAAAGCCGCTTCCACCCCTCACTCCATCTGGAGAGAGTGAATGAATCCACCACGCTCCCGTTAGGGGCATGCCCTCGCCACACCCCCACTAGCGTGTCAGCAGCATCCGCACAATGCTTGGCAAGAGCTGGCAGGGGAGGGAGCGGGATCATTGCTGTCAGTTACAGCTGCACTCCGTCAGGTCCCTGAGAGAGCAGCATGAGTCACTCCTGGCTTGGCGTAGGCATGGGTGGGGGGAGGGCACCACACGGGTTCAGAACCAGCCAATCCTGCTGGGTGAGTGGCCTTGAATACCTGCAGGCTGCATCCGGAGCAATCGGAGCAGGGAGAGAGAGACTGGCTGGGCCCTTCAACACTGCACGGTAACAGCTGAGCACCAGAGATCAGGGCTGCCCATTGCCCGTGTAGGGACCAGTTAGCAGAACATCGCCTGGGTTTAGTAAAATGCAGACACATGCTTATGGAGAAAAATTAAAATCTTTCCGGAAGCTGCCGTTTACCCTCGGAGCACATCACTCAGGGACTGAAATGCTGCCTTTAAATGACACAAAGTGGCCCCCAACACAAGGCTAGTTACGTTCAGGAACTGGCTAATGAGATGCGGGTTCCTTCACTTATTCTAGCACACTGAGTCACTAGTAACGCCCCTCCCTTCAGTTTTCAGCCACTTTCCTAAGCAGATTCTTGCTGAGCCAGGAATCGGGGACCGAGTGGGGCTCAGGCACAGTTAATGGGTATCTCCCACTGTACATGACAGAGGAACATGCCTAGCCATGGACGCAACCCAGTTGTGCCTTCCATGCGCCTGCAGTACCTGGTACGAAGCTGTGCAGACCCAGCCACGGGGCTGTACAGCCATGGGTTTGTGCTGCAGCTATGGGAAGAGCACGCCTGGGGAAGGAGGGGCCCTTTTCTCTGGGATCCTGCCCCACAGCAGGCTTTCCAGAAGTGACTTGCAGTTTGAAGGCAGAGACCCGCTGACAGAAAGTCAATCAGGGCCTTTGTTCCACTCCATTCAGAGGGTTGGTTCTTAGACCCAGCTGAGCTGGAGAATGCAGCTCTCCTCCCAGAAGGGCCAGGCCGCTTTCAGTGACAAAATGTTCACTTCACACTCATCCGGGAAGCGCTAAGCAGACAGGTTTGCTGCCTGCTCCCGTGAGCTTGGGGCTGCTGCTGGGGTCAGAGTTCTTGTTGCAAATCCAGAACTTCAGTGCAGCACCCACACAAGCAAGAGTGTTTCGAGTTAGCCAGGCAATGCCAAAATCCTGGCACAAGCTTTGTTCTCGGCGCAAGCGGCTGGGAAAAAAAACAAAAAACAAACGCTGGTTATTTGTTCTGTACACAACGGGCTAGTTTGGGATGCTACTCAGGATGGCTTCTGCTGTTCCCTCCTTCAATGGCTTGGAACATCCTGCTCGCCTCAAGCGGCGCAAGGAAAACCACCAGGAATAGCTAGTCAGGAAATCTGTTTAGTTGCAGGGAACAGTGGAATAATCCCAGCTATGCAAACATCTCAACATGCATGCCACGCCTTGTGTGTGAACGGGGGTCCAAGGGCTTTAGAAACTGGACACTGGGATAACATCAGCAGCCACTTAGATCTGGTCTACGCTACAGACATGTATCAGTGTAACTTCGTCACTCAGGGGCGGGGATCCACACCCCGAGCAATGTCACTATATCGACGTACCCCCCGCCCCGTGTAGCCAGCACTAGGTCGGCAGGAGAGCTTCTCCCATTGCCATAGCTACCGAGCCCTCGCCTGTCGGCGTAGAGTGTCTACAGCTGCACCGATGCAGCGTTTTAGTGTAGACTTGCCCTAAGAGGGAGCCACTTCTGGGGTGGAAAACAGCAGCTGGGTCACAGTGCAGAGGAACTTTCACACAGCGGTGAAAGTAACAATATGGAAAACTGGAGCCACCTGGGATCCAGGGAGGTGGAAGGTAAATTCCAAGGAGGAGCCAGGTGGAAGTCATCAATTCCAAGACCAGAAGGGACCACGGATCGCGAGCTCCTGCCCCACAGTAACTCCTAGGGCAGAGCTTTTAGAAGCTCCAGTCTTGTTGCCTGGACTCAACGCTCCTGCTCTGGTGCGGAGCATCCGGGGACGGCTTCTGAGCCCAGGAAGCCAGGCCTCATAGCTGGCCTGCATGGGAGAAGTGGCATTTTCCCCGCCTAACTAGTCTAGCATGTTTTCCCTTGTAGCCAGCCCAGCACTTTCTGCATGTGAAAGAGACTGCCCTGGGTCAGTGAGTGCCCCTTAGGGAGTCACACATTCTGTGGACGTCTCCCAGCCCAAGCATTAACCTCTCCCAGCCCTGACCGAGCACTGGGAGATGCTTTGCAACATGGGGGACGGACAAATCAGCCATTCCCGAAACAAGTTCAGAGCAGCAGGCAGGGGCTTATGCTGACCATTCAGAACAGATGGGACCAAGGTTTGTCCTCTCCAAGGCAAGAGAGGGTGGGAACCTGCCTCAGGAGCTTATCTGCTCCCAGGTCCAAGAGAACACCAGGGAAGATAAGCAGCACTTTGGGACACTTCCAGAGACCCCATGCTAAAGCAGATATTGAGACCATGTGGTGGGTCAAGTCACCCTAGGCTCTAGGCCAGCGGGTCCCAAAACGTGGGTCAGGACCCCAAAGCGGGTCACGACTGCATTATAATGGGGTCACCAGGGCCAGCATTAGACTTGCTGGGGCCCGGGGCTGAAGCCAAAGCCTGAGGGCCCCCCCCCCCATGTCATGTAGTGATTTTTGCTGTCCGAAGGGGATCGTGGTGCACTGAACTTTGAGTACCACTGCTCTAGGCGGGGAGAGGTACAGAGAGTCTAGCCTCCACTGGGCTGTAAATGGAGAGGGAGGATGGAAGCTGCAAGTTTCACTCTGCGCCCGTCTTCTCTCCCCACTGCAGACAGGTTAGGCCTGGCCTAACATGCTGGTTTTCCACCAGGGTAGGTCTGTCAGTACAACCCAAGTGGTGGTGGGGGGAGGGGGGCAACCGGTATCGCTTATTTCCTTCTGTGCCAATCTAACTACACCCACACTGCGGGGAGACCAAGAAGCAAACCTCAGCTTGGACGGAGGCAGCTCTTAACTCGGCTGCCCAAAGGAGGAATCACTTTTGGCCAGTTAGTATCTAGAAACCCAGGACTCAATATCCAGCCGCTGTCAGTGCGGACCAGAAGGGTCTGACGCCAGACTACTGCGAGTTGCCAGGAGGGACACAACACCGAGACGTGGCAGTATTCCCACCGGGCTGCTCCGATCTACTGGCTGAACAGGAGAACTCAGGTGGAATAACTTAGTCTGGTTTCCTCTTGGAATGGGAGCAGCTGGTCCCAGATCAGATGCCCAAGTTCAGGGAGGTTGTTCTGAGCAAACCGAAAATGCTTTCAAACCAGTGGCGTGGGTCCCAGAACAGGCCGCACAGGGTGTATGGAAGCAGCAAACATCCCGCCCCGGACCTGGAGGCACTCTGACCTATGCACAAGGGAGCCGGTGCGGGTTATATTTGCAGACAGCGGGTGGATAGAAGCAGCCGTGACCCAGATATTCCCTTCGCTATGAGAAGCAATCTCCAACTTCTCTCCTTGACGACGTTCGTAGCAACACCATCCTCACATCTAACCTTACAACAGCCGTCAAGTGCGCTCTCTCTCCTTACAGACGGGGTGACTGATGCAGAGGTGACGCGGCAGCGTGGGGAACAGAGCCCGGAGTCTGGCTCCTAGCCCGGAGCTCACCCTCTTATGCAAACAGGTGCTTTTATTTAAAGGATCGAGGTTCTGCGCTGGTCTAGCTCAGCCTGAAAGGCGACCCACTGAAACACACCAAGAGGCTGGAACTGACGAGCTTTGCAGGGGGTCACAAAGCCAGGAGACTGGACGCATCTGCAGGCTACGCTAGTCGTCCCTTTGTGCCGTGCTGCTCGGGGCCTCTTGGGTTTACATCTCGTTCAGTCCCAGCAGCAAGACCAACACCGCCTGTGATCCACGCTAAGGAGTGGATGGTTCCACTGGCAGCCCCAGGGAACTCCAGATACCGTCCCTCACACCCAGCCTACGCTTGGCCTTGCAAAACAGCCCAACAGACACGACCCCAGCTCAGCACGAACGCAAGCATGTTTAGCCTTGGGAGAGGGCTGCCATCCGGCCCTGTCAACACTGGCGGGGCCGGAGGGCCCTGCAATCTCACCTGAGGATCAAACGCAAACAGCCAGAGAGGGGGCAGCCCCCGGCTTCCCTCCATCCAGTGTCATGCAGTTGTTGGTGAACACTGGGACAAAGAGCCACGTCCCAGTCTGAGCCCAGCCCTCCCTGCTAGCCTGGAACAGGTCCCCGTCAGTGATTCACCCGCCAGGCATAGTGCAAAGTCTTGCACTGCAGATACACCACAGGCCACGCCAGTGTCAAGCACAATGTTAACCGGGAGACAGCTTCCTCCTTGGGTGTCTCCTCCAGCAAGAAAGCGGGAGGGTGACCCTTGGGCTCAAGCCACCGGAGTGGGGGGCACACCACATTGGCACAGCTAGTTTTAAA